CATTTAGTCACAAAGGACTTTTTACTAACTTTTGAACCCCTTGTCTGATTCATGCCATTTTTTAATATGTTGTTCCCCTGAATGGATTGATTGTGAATATGTAATTTTATGTGAATGTGATGTATGGTTTTAGAGTTATGAAAGTTGGGTAGAAAGTATGTTTTAACTGTATGTAATTGAGTTTCCTCTCAGGATAAGGGGAGGGAATATGTGGGATGTAACTGTGATGTGATTGGTTGTTTTATACCTCCCTGTGGGCGGTCCTGTATTTTAAGACTGTAATAAAAACCAGGCTGGGTGTGCCAGCACCTGTAATAAAAACCAGGCTGGGTGTGCCAGCACCTGAGTTCCTGCTTAACCCTCAAAGTGAAGTGTCGTCTCATTATTGGGGGGAAGGATTTATTGTATGCTGTTCCAGTTTGACTGCTAGGAGAGTAAACCTATTCGTATGGTTCCTATTCAACTGTCTACAGCATTCATATGCTTGAGAGGATTCATATGTTTCTCCGGTTCGGTGGTTGTGGTGTCTGCTGCAGTGCTTGGAGTCCTCAGGAAGCGCTAGGAGCGTCCTTCAACGGAGGTACCCAGTCGGGGTGCCAGGCGATCCGTTACATTGGTGGCAAGCGGTGGGATGGCGTCCTAGTGCGAGGTAAAGCAGCTCAGAGACACAGTTCGTTTGGATTTACAAATTGAAGGCGACACTAGTGTTTATACAGCGTCCCTGTCTACATAAAGATTTGGGAAAATGGGGTTCGTGGATCCTTGGGCAACACGCACACCTGAGGAAGAAAGTGAATTGGAATGGAGAGATATTGCCCGGCAAGAACTATGGTACGATGCCCTGGAGGAAGTCCAGTATCAACGGCAGCAGCGCCTTCCTGGTGTCGCATACCGGTTGGAGGAACAAATGGCCTGGCGGATGCCGCTTCTGGGAGACCAACCCGGAGGGCAGCAGGTCAGACAACTAGAGTACCTCGTGGAAAGGGAACTGAGCCTTGACGCCTCATACCGGGCACTGTGGTGGTGCACTGTCCAGCCAGAGACGTGGAGGGCAGAGGGCATCCAGCCGGAGGGAGAGAACTACACTAGCCCTGGCCTGTTGTGGAAGGCCTTAGCAGAAGACGTCGACTTTGGCAGTCCAGCAGAGTCACGGTACTGGGCTATCTTTTATTACCGAGGTGAGATGGTACAGGGCCCGAGATCTATGGGACTGGGACAAGACCTCCACCGTTTGGCTGCCATGGAACGACAGCTAGAGATGGACTATGTGGAACTACTAAACTCATGTCAGCCACAGGGCATGGACACAGAACAGGAAAACTGGCTGGGGGACCCAGACCTGCCAACCTACAGCTGGGAAAACGCAGCCGAGATACCCCCTGCTTCACTACCAGCTGCAGAAGTAGGGGACCTCATAGACTGGTCCTGGGAAGACCCACAAATGGCAGGTGGAGATGGGATGGCGGTCTCTCTACCGGCCCTACAGGGATGCTGGGCGGTCGGCCCAGATCTCCAGCAGCAGTATGTATCACAGGGAGCTGAAGGTGCTGTCCTTCCTCCCCAGCGGCAGTGTGAGTTCCAGGGAGCCGAAGGTGCTATCCTTCCTCCCCAGCAACAGTGTGAGTTCCAGGGAGCCAAAGGTGATGTCTTTCCTCCCCAGCAGCAGTCTTTTTCCCAGGGAACGGAAGGTGCAGTCCTTCCTCCCCAGCGGCAGTGTGTCCTGCAGGAAGCGGAGACAGTCTGTCTTTCACCCCAGCCACAGGACAAAATATTGAAAGGGGAGACAGTTGGTCCCCCTCTCCACCAGCAAAGAGAGTGTCAGGGAGAGGAGCAGGTTACCCCCTCTCCCCAGCGGCTGTCTACAGTTCAGAGAGAGGAGCTTGTTACACCCTCTCTCCAGCGGCAGCCTAACCCACCAAGGGGAGATGTTAAGCCCCACAACTATGCAGATGGGACCGTAGTCTCTGCACTTGCAGCACCAGGGGTAGGGACAGTCGGTCCTGTCCCCAGCCACAGAGCAGTGTATCCAGAGGGGAGACAGTCGGTCTCCCCCTCCCACAACCAGGCTCCAACCAGGCTACTTCAGTGGTAGCGCTGGCACCCGGGCAGAGTACCGCTGGTCTCTGCCCACTCAGCAACCCACCAAGGCCATCTACCAGCCCCCCGTACAGCCGTGGTGAGGCACCTGGACACGGACAACTTGCTATTTTATCCAGGTGTAGTAACCAGTTATTGTGGGTGGGCTGTATTGCTGTTTGTGCTTCGTGGGTGGGTTGCTGGACTAACCAGGGCACTGACCGGCAGGAGGTCAGATACCCTGTTAGTCTGGATAGTAAAGGGGAGAAATGTGGCGAAACCGGCCTCGCCACGTGTCCTTGGAGGGGGCTGCTTGCCCGCCTCTTGCCTTTGGACTATGGACCAGACTTTATGTGAATGTGTTAACCCAGATAGCTATGCCATGGAGCCCATTCGTGTAGTTAAAGACTTTGGCTC